AACAACAAACTTAAATTTTTATTTTAGTTAATTGTATCTACTACTAATAGTACTATTTCTAGAATATATATATATATATATATATATATATATGCATGGTACCATTATTTGCTTTCGTTTATAAATATTTGGCAAAACTCCTACTTATTTCTTAAAAAATTCCAAATTGATAAGTCTTATACTGAAGTACAAAACTTAACAAAATTATATACAAACTATTGAGATATACTAAAACCTTATTCAAATGTAAAAAAATAAAAAAATGCACTGTCTTCTTCACAAATATATTGTTGATGTGAAGAATGGCATATCTTTACATGCAGATCATATTTGGTCCATGTACCATATATGTCTTTACAATGATCTGAGCATGTGCTCACAACTAACTCTATAATTAACTTTCTGTTTATTTAAATTACATTCTAAGACAATTTTTCAAATGAAAAACAATGTCAAAGTAAGGAAAACACATAATGTATACTTGGAAGTAGATGGCCTTGCAGGGTGTTTTATCTGACATACAAGCATGTATATATGTGGACAAGTCAACCGGTTTCTGGGCTAACAGTAAATGCAAGGACAAAGAATTCATTTATTTTTTAAACCAACAGTAACAAACTCTGTGTCACTGGTGTGAGTGTGTTTAATAAATTGTTTTAATGTAAAGAAATGGAACAAAAAATTACTTTTCAACAATGCAATTTATAAATATTTTTAATACTAAATTTAATTTACCAAACTCTGATGAATACATTTGTTCCTCTGACTGTATAAATGAAGATGATATTATGTCTCCAAGTTTTTGTTTATATTTCTTCCTTCTATGTCAGACTCGGAAAACTTTACATAAATGTATATTATGTACATAATATTAATGTCATCTTATGTTTTAAATGTAAACTGCATGGTTATAAAGGTGTTTTAAAAGCATAAAATGCTACCAATTGATATGGGCTGAATAGTCTTCTACTGTCTGGTTGTGATGATATTGCATGCATGGCCTTCAGTTCTGAAAATCAGTTTTATAGTTTAAAAAAATGATCAGTTACAGCATAATTTAAAATTGAGGTATAGCTTATGTGTATATTTGCATGTGCACACACACACACAAACAATCCAACAAGAGCTTTCAAATAAATAAAAACCTATAATTCTAGTTCTTGGGAAGCTCTTGTACATATTCTCTAAGAACCATAAAGAACAGATACCTGTTTGTTATGTAATTTATACTTATGTGGTAAATACTTGATGACAGTAGCCTCCGTATCAACTTTCATAGTATAAACCAATTTAGGTTTAAATTAATCATCATACTTGTAACTATGGTTTATTTATCTATGTTATATAAAGTCTGACATATCAAACACTACAAATTGTTTCTTTGAAAACCAGCACCAAAAATTTTAAAAGGTACTGTACATGTGCAATATAAGCATACTAAATGTCTATCAGATCAAATCTGGCTATGTTACAATACATCTTATATTGTATCTGATGTTTTTTTTAACATAAACTGTTAATTTGTAGGTAACTTTTGCTACTTCTGTGCACTCTTGTTTACATGTTTTGTGTGCTATTCAGTTTTAAATTGAACTCCTAATTTTGTCAATACTAATTACTCATAGTCTAACAATTTTAGCTTCCCACATTAGATGACAAGATAAGTGACTATGTATATGAATAAGTACAAAATATCTAAAAAAAACAATGCCTGCTAAGAACAGATTTTTAGTGATGCAAATTAATATTCTTATTGTTTGGAGAAGGAGGCTGGGAGGATACAGTATTAACATTGTTGTTTCTTATTCAGCAGTTAACAGCAGTATAACTTGATTTCACCCACTTGTGCAAGAAAAGTAGTCTTTGCACTGATTGTGCACATGAGTACAAGTCTCTTTTAAACTTTAATTCTATAATGTCTGTTGAAGAAGATGGTGAAAAATGAAATTATACAGTATGCTACCTGTCAACTCTTTCCTCTGATTGTTTCAATTTTGATAATGAGCTGATATAACATGCTCATTTATTAAGATGTATTTAAAACTTGGAAGAAACCAAACTACCACATATTTAACTGGTTTACAATTACACATCACTATACCATACACAGTTGATTTTTACTACATACATAGTTGATACTATAATATTAATAAATAAGCCAATAAGAACCTCATCATTTATTGATCCATTGATAAAGGACACTTGTGATTTAAAAAATGGAGAATGATGTAAAAGAAAAGTGATTATTTACACTATTTTGCCAGACAAATGTTGTATTTAAATATTACCTTATATATGGCATCAGTATATTTTCTTTACTAGCTAGAAGGAATGGCCTGAAATAGCATAGATAGCAAAAACTGATTCAAACAACGAAGTACTCACTTTTAAACAACTCATAGTTCCAGATACATTAGACAGTGTACAGCCAAGAGAGAGAGTGGAGAAAAGCAGCCAAAGCTTAAAAGACCTTATACAATACAATGTATGTTTTTATGCATCATTCATACTCCTCATCTGTGGTCTTGCTTTAGCTTCCAAGTGACTAAGAAACTTCCATTCAACCCTACTGCTAGTAGAAATTTATGGAAAAGTGTGTCACTGAGTCTAATCATTTCACTTAAAGGAGATCTGCAAGGCTTAAGTAAAAAACAATAAGACTCTTAAATTATCATTCTTCTTTGTCTAACACCAAAAAACACTTTATTAAACAGCTTCTATCAATGAAATGTCCAAATATATATCATTGCTTTTCTTTTCTTGGTTAAGACTAAAGCAACAAATAGATGGCCAGATGTTATCATATAAAAACAAGCATTGGCATTAGGATGGCTCAAAAACCAATAAAGGCTGCTGCAGAACTTAATTAAAAACAACAACGAGAGATCAGCAAACCTGATCAATTCCTCCAAATGATTCACAATCAAATCTCAATGTAACCTGCAATTAGCTTCCAGTCAACTTGGTGAGCTCACTGAACCAATCAATTACTGACAGTGTATTAAAACACAGTCCAACTTAAGTGGAAGTTTTGCAGTGCTCAAGATTGTTGCTCAAAACATTTCCTTGTAGACAGAGCAAGAGGAGTATTCATGTAGTTCAGTTAACTGGTAAGCAAGATTTGACTTGTAATTTCAGGTACAATAGAACCACTTTACATTGTCAGTCAAACAAAAAAACTGTCTGAGAGGATGCTGTGGAATACCAAGAGTAAGCATGACTAATCTTATGCAGAAAATTTAAAGCTCTTGATAAAATATCAAGACAGAAAAACAAACACTGAATAAATGGTATTTAAAGGTGTTTTAAAGTAATATAACTACAATGTCTCTTACACTTCACTAACAGTACACCAAAAAAAAAACCAGGAAGCAAGAACCACTTTGTTGAAAGACTCATGCAGGATGGTTTGAAGCTGAAAGTTCCATCTCTAGATCCAGGAGGCAAATATTTTGGTGATTAAGAAAATAAAAAAATCCTGGAAATAGTAAATACACTAAGCAGTTGAACAGAAATTAATTAGCAGTCTTAATGCTGATCCATATTCTTCAAATACCTATAATAATGGAGATTAATTGTGATGCATAAATATCTAAAGTGTTGTAGTATTAAAAAGTTCTTGTCATATTTATTGGTCTTTACACTAAAATTTGAAATTGTATGAAAAAGAATGTTGTGTTGTACAGAGGGATGGAGACTTAGATGTGTGCTCTGAAAAATATCTGAAGGTTTTTGGTAATATGTGTGGTTGTAATGACTAGGATGTATTTATAGAAAGCTTTGGGTTTAAAAGGTACAAAGATTACTATAATTTTTCATACTATACTGGTCTCTGATAAGATCACACATGGGCACTCTACTATATTTACTTTTATAGATGCATTTTAGACTTCTTTTTTTAAGTATAGAGAAAACTAGCAGACTGATATGCAATTAGGTATATGTTACAAAAAGGCTAATATAAGAAGGGACATTTAACAAGTTTAAGTTAAAATTACTAGTTATAAGTAAAGATAATTTAAATTTGATATTAAAAATATCCAGAGCTTGGTTGGAAAAAAGGAATTTGATTTAATGAAAATAACTGGAAAATGGTTTGATCTACAGAATAATGATGACAGGAACTATTTTAAAATTCCACCTTAAAGGTTATCTGTGACATATTATTTAGAAGAGTAGCTATTAATATTAGTAACAAGTTGCTGCCTAGTCAAATGAGCATGCAGGAAAGTTGGAAGTTGAATCTATATGGGTTTAAGTTATTGGATACAGGCGTAGTAGGCTAATAACCTGCAAATGATATATATCTAAGATATATTTATAGTGTTTATTTTATCTTTTAAACTTTTAAATGTTTTCCTGACAGAGTTCAAGGTCTTATAGATATACATAAGAGAGAATCCTTACTTTGTATAACTATAATCTATATGTTAGTGTTTGTTCTAAAAAAAGGGCGTTCATATCACTCTTCACATATTTCCCGAAAATTTTTGGTTTTCATGTTGTATTTATTGTGCTTTCTTCACTGAAAATGTAAATGATTAAAAAAATATGAAAACAATAAAGTCAAAATCTCATGCCGAAGATATTTATTCCATCTGACATTACTGCCCGGTTTATTAAAAAAAAGTTTAAGTGTGAAATAAAGCCATGAAACCTTATCTTTAACTTGCTGGTGTTGGTCCAAAATCACAGACCATGAAAAATCATTACCAGCTAACACGAAATCCAGCAACACGTGCTTCACAATAATATAAACATTCTTATGCGTACCGTAGATAAATTCATACTCATAGAGCTGACGAGATTTGTTGGACTATATTTATACCGTTATATCAATATATGTTTATTGTTATAACACATTACCTGCTCTGGGATATGGTGAGTGCAATTGTGTTTTTCAGTCTCAGTTGTAACCTGTCCATCTACTTTTTCCTATCCTAATTTCTGCGATTATTGAAAAATTCGAAGTACTTACCTTCCGATTTCCTCAAAAACATCAAACTGTTTCTCAAACGACGACTCTTCTGAAACAACTTGGACCATAATTAATTAATTAGTTTTAATGAAGCGCGCATCCCTGTAAAGTTTTAATGTAATTTAACAAACAATAAATTTAACTATATGGTATATCTTCGTCCACGTATAGTTAACCCATGGTTCGCTCCACGCGTGCCGGACCCTGAACGTGCAGCACTTCAAGTAAAGTTAGTAAACCATTTCTCGCATGCAAGTCTGTATCGCGCTCTGAGCGATTAGTGACGTCATCAACGTCACATCGTGACATCATCATAGTACGTTTACGTCAAACTAAGTTATGACATCGAGGTTCCGGTCTTTTTCAGGGCGAAGAGAGACTACAGTATTTGAGCACCCCTGGTTATCTTTCAAGCCCAAAATACTTTGGGACTTGATAGACCTCAAACAAAATTTCCTACCACGATTATGTGTGTGTGTGTGTGCATTGAGGTATTTATACGTAAATGATTATAAACATTTTATTAAAGCCACTGGTTATTTTGAACCAGACACTCAAACTGAAAGTCTCATGGTGAACTTGCGAGTTCTAATTTTTTAAGAGTTTGATTAAATCGAAAAGATACACGGCTTTTCACTTGAAGTATTTGTAATTCTGAAATGCGTTCTTCCATACTCAGCCATGACAATAACGCCAAATCAATAATGTATATAGATTCTACTCTTGAAATTCGTATTTTTATTTAGATATGTATAGGTATTGCACTTAGTAATCAGATGATTATTTACTGTAATAAAGATTTAAATTCTCTATAGCGTAGGTAGGTAGGTATTTATTATAAGTAGTGTTACGTCTCCGTTTGTTAATTAACTTTCTTAAAGCTCGGCATGGCCAGGTGGATAAGTCACTCGACTCGCAATTTCAGGGTCGCGGGTTCGAATCCCAGTCCCACCAAAAATGCTCGCCCTTTCAGCCGTGGGAGCGTTATAATCTGACGGTCAATCCCCACAATTCGTTGGTAAAAGAGTAGCCCAAGAGTTGGCGGTGGGTGGTGATGACTAGCTGCCTTCCCTCTAGTCTTACACTGCTAAATTAGGGACGGCTAGCGCAGATAGCCCTCGTGTAGCTTTGCGCGAAATTCAACAAACAATTAACTTTCCGTAACTTCGTTCCGACGAAACTTTAGCGACACAAGTCCTTACTTAATAAAACTGGTTTATTCTTTCTGAATATAACTTTACCAATACACTTATTTTCAACAGTCGCTCTTGTACAAAAGTTTTAACAACACTTCCTGACTGCAGTTCAGTTACTCACTACCTACACACACATTGTCGTCACGTTGTGAGCGTCTTACATATATACCAGACAAACATATATCTAGTAAATGCTATGGCATTCACGAAGGAACAAGATAGTTCTAGAAACGTGGCGTGACACTAGTCACGTGACCTCGCTGACGCAACACTGCCCCCTCCTTAGTATTGTTCGTCCCGAACAATAGTCACATACAATAAACCAATAACAATTAACAATAACTTAATTAAATGTACAGAATTACAATCACAAAATTACAATTCAACAAAGTCTCTTAATTTTACGGGACGTATCTTCTTTCGTACTGGTCTCCGTCTCGTTGGCTTCTGCTTCATGTGGGGTTCATCTGCTTCATCAGTAAATGTCCTATCATCGGTAACAGTCACATCAGTGGTAGTAACTTGAATCAAGAGCTTCATCGTTTCCCTTCTCAAAACTGAGTAGAGTTTCTTCTTCGACGTTGGCTTTTTCAGGTGACACGTCTTCAGCAGCGTCATTTGTTCCTTTGTTCACTTCGTCCCAACTGAAATGTCCTGGACCGTGACAACGCCAAAGCCTGTTGGCATGCACCACTTTTGGCTTATCTCGCCGACCACATTTTATCCGGAAAGTCACGTCTGAGAAACGATCCACTATGTCATATGGGCCTTCCCATGGAGAAGACAACTTAGGAGACTTCCCTTTGGTCTTCCTGGGATTATACAACCATACCTTGTCTCCTGGTACAAAGCAGACTTCAGTAGATCTCTTATCATAAGTTAACTTCATCGAATCAGCAGACGTTTTCAAGTTTGAACGCACTTGATGGTGAATATCATCCATCCTTTCCGATAACAGTTCCACAAACTCTGACATATTCACAGGCAACTCTTCATAAGGTGGGCGTCTCTTATGCTTGGGTCCCCTTTTAGCACTACATGTACTGCATGTCCTTCACCATTCTTCCACATCTCGCCTCATACCTATCCAGTAAAATCTTTGTCGTATGTGACTCAATGTTTTCTTGATTCTGAGATGTCCTCCTGTTAAATTATCATGGAATTGACGCAGCACAACTTCCCGTAAGTTCCTCGGTATAACTGTTTGCCAGGTCGTCACTTTTCCATCTGCAGTTTCCCATCTCTGGAGAAGAAT